GCTGGCTGCATGCTTAACACATAATTAAAGTCCTCTCCGAGTCCCATGGGATTTTTAGTTTAAAATCTTGATGGGTTTCTGTTCTTTCAAATGTCCAAGCAACCGCAGAAGCAATACCCTATACGACATGAATATGCTAAACCCTACGTACGGATGGCATGCACGTCAGCTCAAACTCTGATGCAATTTAGTGATACCAAATTGGCACATTGTCAAACTATTTTCCATTTTGTTGATTTTTCCAACTATATGGTATTACGATCCCATTAGTCTGCATGAGAGTAAGTTATCAGTCTTTGGTTCCACAAGAAAGAAAAAAAAAATCTCTATATGAGTCTCTACACAAAATTTTTATTTATTTTGTACATTTTATTTTGTCTCACTTTACTCATGTTCTTTTCTCTGTCCTACTTTACACCATTCCATCAACTAAGTTAAAAAAGTCTTAGTTTTACTCACATGGCATTTGTCTCTAATTTGGTCTTGTCATCAGTAAATATATAGATAGGCTAGAGAAATTGTTGGTTTTAGTGACAATTTGGAAGATTTTAGCCACTTAGGGTTTCCAAGGAGGGAATTTGCTTAATTTGGAGGGGTTTTGTTTTTGGTGCGTGGGTTATATTTGCAGTTTTAGATGTTCTTAAGGTCAAAACAAGTTGAAAAGATCAAAGAGCCTCTATGTCTGTGAAACTAACGTCACTTTCAACCAATTTGATAAAATGCCGTAACGTGGGACATAAAAAAGGAATACCGGAGTAAAAGTCAAACATAATACAGTGTAAATGGTAAAATGAGATGTTACATAAGATATAAAGAATGACTAATTAAATATAATGTCATGGTTTTTTTCTTTCTTCTCTTTTTCTTCTTCTTGTACTTCGCTAATTATGTAACTATGCTATGTATGCTAGCTAGGTTAAGAATAACATTAATGTTAAAGGCTTATAACTGGTAGACGTTTACTTCTTCGTGTTGCAGAGAAGTGCAACACGAGAAATCTTATCATGCTTCCACCAATTTTTATGACAATATTGATCACTACTTATGGATGATGGTAGTCAGTTGCAGAGAAGTTAAATAAGTTTTGGGGATTGTGTAAGGATTTCGAAATATTAGTTAGGAGCTAGATACTTACCATTTTCTTGGACAGATGAAGGAAAGAATAAAAACTAAAAAAAAAGAGAAAAGTTGAATTTCTTGCATTAACTTCCGGCTTACATCTGCATCGTACAAAATGTTCTTCATTTTTATCCATATCAAAGAAGGATAATGCTAAGGAGACTAATATTTTAGGAAAATGTGTCACTAATAGGAAATAAGCATATTAATCAACGTAATAATCGCAAGTGGCCCTTTACCATAGTGGTGGAAAATAGTTGAGCCATTGCATGGGGATGTGGGTTCGAACCTTGTCAGTAACTAATTTTCGTTTGACGCTTGATTAATAATCTAATTATTCACAATCATATCATTTGATTTAAAATTTTGATTTCCCTAGCATTATCCGTCAAAGAAATGAGAAACTTCATATAAATCCAACTTTTAAAGCTAGCATGTGAGAATTGTTTAATAATAATATTCAAAAGGTTTTTGGTAATACTGACACATTTTTGACCAAGAAATGACTTCACTATATATACGTCCAGAAAAATTAGTAAATTATGACTTCAACAAGAAACAACGTGCTCCTTCGGTATGTACGTAGGATTGAGTTGGATAACTATGTAAATTTTTTAGTTTAAGGGCATATTCAAAATACAAGTAAATAATTTTTTTATTTGGGTAATTAGAAGCGCATTACATACATGTAAATTTAAGGATATAAGTTTTCTTCATGATTAATCTATCTTTTGTCCTCTAATTAGAAATATTTTTTTAATTCTTTCCTAGACATACCTTAAAATTAAAAAGTTATTCATTCTAATCCAATCTTACGTAGTTACTTACGAAATGATGAGCCCATGCTCAGGTACTATTTGGTCATGTTATTTGACCCCAATTTTTTTATTTTATTTATTATGTTACATAATATCTCTCAGTTTCTTAATTAGTTATTGCTTAATTTGATGCCTAGTTAGAGTGAGTAGAAAGGGTGACCATTGTAACAACAATTTAAGGAAATAATAACACATAAACATTTTCATTCACGTACAACTGAGTAAGGAGAGATACAAACAATATATTCATGTATGCCTAAAGGCTAGGAAAAATATATATAAATGAAAAATATTAGAGAGACAATCTAGTTAGACCATAAAATATGATGTGTTACCAATAGAAAATGCTAGAGAGATCATATTATAGACCACTTGATGTGGCGGTTGATGATTGCTACATTATGTTGTCTACAAAAATATTGTTCAAGTAGATTGTCTCTCTAGCATCATTGTCACCAATATAAAATAACCTCGTTAATCAAGTATAATTCAATCATCAATATTCACGTTATGTGGTTTATAAAGTATAGTTTCAATAGATGGTGATGCTGTAACTATAGTCTATTAATTGACAACCCATGCATATTGGAAGTCTAAACCTTACTTAAGTTTGAAATATTAGTCCCATAAAAATTTCTCAAGTTATTTTGGGAGTTGTAAGGATATCATAGAAACTTGAGGTCTATTAATTTGTAGAGGTTATAAATAATGTACTAGAAAGCCTTGAAGGAGAGACTTGAATGAATTGAAAAATATATTCACTATGTGCAATTGAAGTGAGTGATTGTTTCCTCCTTCTATAGTCAAGCATTTGGCTTGGCTGCGTTAAGTGAATTCACAATTAGCGATGTAAGTAATTCCGTTGCCCCTAATTGAGTGATTCCCCATGTTCCTTCCATTTAACCTGAATGCCCATCAAATGGTTTCCCTAACATTACTCATCATAATTAAATATGTACATATGTATCTTGATGCCCGAAATCTTCAGCTCAAATTGATAGTATATGCACTTATTAGATCACTTGTTTTTTTTCCACACTCATTATATCGTTAGATTGTTCTCCAATATTCATACGCATGCATTAAAATGGTGGAATCAAGCAGGAAGCTAAGGGTATGGTTCCTTCGTCTCGGATCTAATTTTTCTTTTGAAAATAATGAATGTAGTTAAATTACTTAATACTCAATAGTTTTAAAAACAAAAAATTGAATCCAAGAATGATACCAAACAAATTCTAATTGACAACATGATTATATTAGTTTAGATCCAAAGGCTTAAACTATTTGACAACTTAATCAATCAAAAACAAGAAAATGAGTAATCCAATGGTTCATGGATTTTAAGGTTTTCTTTTTATTTTTTTTGGTCAAAAGAGTAGAATTTATTAAAGATGAATAGAAACGTTTACATCCTTTGTAAGGGTATTAAACAAGAATTCTGGACCAATCCCACGCAGGGCAGTAAATGCAGCAACCTTGTGAGCTGCCATATCCCTTAAACTACGAACAAAAAGAAACTGAACTACGCCAATTTGATCAGCTAACAACCTAATATCATGAAGATAGCACTCCAGAGTAACAACCTAATTTTTAGTTGGTTTTGATTTTGTGGCTAATATGCAATTGGTCCTCACGAGTTCTCAATTAGATTAAGGCATGATTTATCTTCCTTATTCTACTAAATTACCAAATATAATTAAGATTTTATTGTGATTTGTAGGGCAGTTTTCCCAAGTAAATCGGCATAGATTACTGAGTGCAAGAAACACTGTTTCTTCTATATTATATCGTTAGTTTCTTTTAATTCGAAGTTGATGAAAGACAGAAAAATTAACCAAAAAATTATTTCAAAAGGAATATAACAAAGAATCCTGTACAATGCAGGAGAGACGACAGTGTAGCTAAATAATTTAGGGTTCTACATCTAGAAAGAGACCAGTCACCGCCATATGGTACAATAAAAAAAACTAGGGTTTTAGCTGTAAGCTTTGTGGAAGCATGCATGTTAACTCTGCATATATAAGAAAATCGGTAAGGTATTGTGAGACAAAAAAGAGGATTAGAAATTTAGAATTACAAACGAGCGAATCGGGACAGATTTTCATGGAAAAAAAATATTATATGTGTGTATATATATAAATATGTATATATACATATACATATTTAAGTAGTCTCCAGTAGTCTGTAGGGTGCTGTCACACTCAATTGTTGCATTCATGCAAGACAACCACTCAATTTGTCCACAGCAATGTATTCTCATACCTCCTTTTTAATAATTTAATTAGCCAAAATCACAGCTAAACAAAACTTCCTTTCACACAGCTTATTGCACATAAGACGAGACAGCTCATTTCCCTAAAATTCCCTGTGTCAAGTGACTCTTGTCCAAACAATGCCTTACAAATTAATAAAATTTAGACAAAAAAACTAGCAAGATACCCCTACCATATGATACCCAATTCATATTTATATACATAATTAAATTAAAAAAATAATAATGCCTCAACCATTTAGTCAGATATGAAACATTTTATAACGAATTATTATACTGATTTAGCTCGTGAAATGATGATATTTTTTTAACTTAAATAATATCGAATAATGCGAATATAATATGCATAGAGGGATGATGAGAGGTGGGTGGGGGACAAGAAAATATATGGAGCATAATAAATACGCGATGAAATTAGATAGATCAATAAATACAAAGGAGATGACAGGCCAAACCAAAGAGGTTAAAAAGAAAAGATTGACCTGCGTCTCCGATCTCCATCCACCCCATGCATTGCATTAGCAAAGATCTTAGATTCTCCAAATGTCTCATCAACATTCACCCCAATGCCTCCAATTTCATATGAAGATGAACGAAAACCCTACAAAAAAATACGGACACAACCATACAAAACAGAGACAATAGAAAGAAACAAAGAGAAGAATCAAAACATGTAATTAACCACTACCGATTAATTAATCTCCTTAGACTAAATAAGATCATATTTCATGAATTTTGACGACTCTTTCTCCTTCGCCATCCAAGAGGGGATGCATATAATTAAAAAGATATAAAATAATAATAATATTATTATAAGTGATGATCACGAGTCTTAATTAGCTAATAATATAGCTACGTAGTACTAGTAGTCGTGAGAGTGGTGGTACATTGTTGATGGGTCACAACCACTTTGCGCCCTATGATGATGATCATGATCTTGATGATCATGGCCCTCCATATTTCTAGACCCCATTTGATGAGCTGCTCCAAGATTCAGATACACCAACCTAGAATCCAAGTTAAGGTTCCCAATGTTGCTGCCACTGCTGCCACTGCTATGGTGATCATCGCTTAGTGGTGGGTAAATCGCCGTGGAATTCGAAGAATTAGGATTGTTGTTTGCATTGCTGTTGCCTTCCTCGCGTGAAAGAACAAGAGCAGCGGACTGTACGAGCTCAAGGCAGAGTCTGAGCTTGTTAGGTTCAATGTGGGTTAGTCCCGGGACAGCCCCCTTGAATAGAAAATCTGAAGTTAGGGTTCGGAGTACGTCCAGAGGAGTAACCCCATCGACCGTTCGGACATTTGGGTCAGCGTGGTGATCGAGTAGGACTGCCACCATGTCCGGAGACACCATTTCGGAAGCAATGTGAAGCGGGGTTTTGCCGGCTGGCCCTGCCGGGTAGTTTACATCAGCTGCACCAAGTTCTAGTAACGCTTTCACAACTTCCCGGCTGCAATTTTCGACTGCATAGTGCAATGCCAATGCCTCATCGAGATTTAGGCCTTCCCCCATTACCATGAGCTTGACAAGTTCGACATCTGACGAGTCCAATGCCCGCCTCATTCGACGGATTTTCTGGTCCTCAAGATCCGCAGCTGCCCCGAGGTCATGGTGGTGATGATGGTGGTGATGAGGCATCATTGAACGGCGGGCGATGGAGGATTTGAGACGAAGCTCTTCGATTTTGGCCACGATATCGATGGGTAGGTGCTTGGCAAGGACTTCTGGTGGGAGGCCAGATTTGGCAACAAGGTGAGAGCACGTTGTCCAAAGCTGATGCATGTCTTGTTTCCTGGAAGCTAATAGGACTTTCATCACATCGTCAATGGAGGCCTTTTCCACCATGCTAGCCAATTGCTTCTGTAAAACCCAAAAAACAAGGACATTGTATATAATGATGTTAATGGTACTACTAGTTGGAATTTCATTATTGAGATATATAGATTAGATATATGCACTTTTGGGATTTTTTTGTACATTAACAATATTTGTATTGATAAAGTGATGGGATGTTTTAGTCTTTTTCTTGAATTTTGTAATCGTTTATCCTGTTAAACCAAATGAGGAAAGTGAATGTTTGGGATGGATTTGTAGTGTTTACTGTGGAAAGACAAGACTGGATATCAAGATCTAAATTTAGAAAGTCATGATGTGCATTTCAAAGAAAGGAAAAAAACCCAATTCAAGAAAATTGAAATGGTACATGAAATCAAGAAGGAAGAAAAAAACATTTGTTGGATTTTTTGTCTTTTTGGTTGGAGAAACCTCCTGATTTTTTTGGGATGTTTTTATTGAAGATTGTAATGCTCCTTAATCATGAATAATATCCTAAAGAAGAGGAAGAAGAAGAAGAGAGATGCCTATGGATTATTAACACACTACTATAGAAGAAAAAGTAGTATGGTTGGATCAAATGCTTGAAAAAATAAATAAATTAGTTAAGCCTTTGCTACTTTATATGGAGGAAATAAAAACACAAATTGAGAGGGGTAAAAAGAACTGGGATTGGAAAGGGGAAGATCCCAATTTCAATTATAACTGAACAAGAACAAATGATGTGAAAGAGAGAGAGAGAGAGAGAGAGAGAGAGAGAAATCCCAGTACCAAAAAGAAAATGAAAATAATAGAAAAAGAAGAAAAGCTTTTACTTCCCAAAAACAAAATCAAAACCCAAGAATTGTAGAAATTCCCAAAATCCACTAAACATAAGACTGCACACACAGAAGAACCAAGAGAAAAAGTGAGAAAGAGGGGGAGCAGAGGGAGAGAGAGGGGGGGGGGGAGAGAGAGAAGTTAGAGAGACTAGTGGTACCTGAGTGAGCAATGCAAGTTGTTCAACGCCAAAGGATCTAGCGGCAGCAAGAGTGTCAAGGGCAAGATCAACGGCGGAGGTGCAATGCGTGTGCCAACACCCTCTCTCTCCACAATTAGGCCTCGGCTCATGTTTCTGAGGCACTATCGAGACTTGTCCACTGTACAAGAACTGCAACAGCAACAAGAACACCTCGTACCCCACCGAGTTCACCGGTATCACCTGCTGCTGCTGCGGTGAACTACCTGACCCCCGGTGATACGATGACGATGTGCCACCGGGACTCATCCTGGACCCCGAGGGGTCTAGACCCAACGGTGGGTCAGGCCCACAAAAGAATTTCCGGAAGAAGAGGCTCCGGGCTGCCAGGATGCACCTGTGGGCGTGGACGAGACGACCCTCGACGCTGAAGGTGACAGTCACTGAAGGCTTGGCCATTGATGAGCAGATTCAAGTAGTCTAAGGACAGAGATCTTAGAGACTCTTCAAGGCTGCTCATGATATGATGCTTTTTGGATATGGTGGTAATTATTCACAAACTGTTTTAGGGTTGAGAGAGAAAGGTAGGGATTGTTGAAAAGAGGGGCTAAAACAGTAATGGGTTCATTTTTATCTGTAATTTTTTTCTTTCAGGATCAATTGGTTTTGTTGTTGAAGGATGCGATGAAGAAGATGAACTCTCTCTCTCTACTGTTAATGTTTTTTGACAGATTCTTTTGTCTCAATGGAGTGATATTGTGTTTGTGTGTGTTGGTAGATATTTTGGAGAGAGAGAGCAAATTGGGTGGCTGTTCTGGGCGGCTGGGGTATTTAAAAATAAATCATTAATAGAATAAATAATTGATTAGTTAAAAAAAATGATGGGAAAGGGGAGAAAATGATGGGAGGGGTCAGGGGTAGAGAGGGAATGGAAGAACAGGAAATCAGCAAAAGGTTTATTATATAGTTTATATGGATGATTAGCAATAACCCTAGTTACAGTAATTACCTCAATATAAAATGAGTTGTCAGAAAATTGAATTAAAACTTTCACCCTTTTATAGAAGTGGGGGATATAGAATAATAGGATATCATATTTTTCTGATTTGTGTTGACTGCAGCTAGATGTTTAATGGACTAATGAGGTCCGAACCACTTTTAGCCTCAATTATCTCTGGATGTTTAACTTTCTCAATCATACAAGGCAAAGTTTAGACTGCCCTTTATAGCAGTTAATCTTTTGATTGTTCTTAGTAGGACATTACTTGATGTAGCCAATGGTACTATGGTTGCTTTCATGCACTACAGCATTATAACCAAAATTGCACTTTCAAATCGGAGGATAATCTTTAATTTAGTCGTATCATTTCGAGTAACAGTGTTTTTTTTTTTTTTTAATTAAGAAAATTAGAATCTCCTACAGTTTCTATATCATTTAAATTATACATTTGTGCTTTTTAAAAATTTGATTAAAATGTTTTGACCAATAGTCACCTCAAGCTAAATTACATGTCATTATTATATTTTTTTAAATTAAAATAATTTTTGAATCATGATGCATGTTTTCTTATTTAGTGGAGATATAGTAATTAAACTATATTTTCTCTTCTTCCAGATATGTTTTTTCGATCACAATTTTTTTTTTTTTTTGTTATGCAAACATTTAATGTTATTTCTTTTTCCAAATGTTTTTTTTTTCTTTCAAATAGTTGGTGATCAACATAAAAGCTTCGTGTAATTTTTTCAATTTTTTTTTTTGCTGTTTTTTTTAAGTATAGTTGTTGACGAATTATTAGTAGGTACAATACATTATGTATATATTATCTGCGGGTATGCTTGAATTTACAAAAATCATTAATTGGTACGTTTATTCGCAATTTTGGTATGTTTGATTTGATACATATTATTAATATTGGTACATTAATTTTATTTTGTACACATTGTGTATTGGTACTTTTATAATATTCTCAATCCTATTTTCTCTAAACGTACTAAAAGAAAAACTTATTTTGGTACGTTTGATTTTGTGGGATTTAAAAATATTTTAAACTATTTTGAAAAGAAAATATCTTAAATCGTAGATAATTATTTGCTAAATTGTAGCATTATTGTGAAAATAAATTGAATCTAACCAACCTTTTTTTTTTTTTTTACAATTATCTCTGAAGGAAGAGAGTGTAATCAAAATGCTAGATTATAGGAAATTTGTTAAGATATAATGTGCATATAGCACCAAAATTATGACAAAAAAAAGTTTAATCAAATCACTAAAATGCATGGATGTTTGATCTAGAAAATTCAAAACCAAGGTGCCTATATCAAAAGATGCCTTTTTAATTTGTAGTTTTCTTTTTGTGTTATAATATGAGAAAAATACATGGAAGTGTGAGAGAAATAGAAGAGTGGAGGAAAGATACACAAAGTGAAACCTAAAAGCAAAAAATCACTAATTTAAAATTGTTTTCATTTTCAAGGTTTTATTTTCATTGTTTCTTTTTATTTCTTCATTTCGCTCTTACACCGTCTTTTCTTCACTCCTCCTTTATCCCATATACTTTCTTCATATCTCAAACACAAAAAGTAAAAACTAAAAATTAAAAACTAAAACTCAAATGATTATTAAATGAGTCCTTACAATAACAAAATGAAACAAATTATTTTATTTTGAAAAAACTAAGGAGATCTTCAACCATGGAACGCTAATAAAGTCATGGGCTCATTTTTAGCCCTTTAAATATAATTTTTTTGGGAATAGTAGCACGCTAATTTTTCCCGTCTACAACTATGGAGGGCTAGTTCCCACGTGTGCATGAAAAGTCATGCTCGGCGATGTGCTGCACCACCTCTTCACCAAGCCATCAAGCGGTGGCTCCATGAAAAAAAAAAAAAAATGCCCTAGTGCTTGAGGAACGACACTTTTTAACTTTTCTAGAGTATAGTGATATTTTCTTTACATGTAATAAAAATGTTTTTGGTTCGATTCTCGTCAAAAACGAATTTGAATCACATTATTACTAGTTCATTGTCAGGCTTAACCTACTCCTCGAATCTTTTAGTATAGATAATATCGTTTGTTTAGGAAAAAAAATTAAATAAATAAATCATTTGTGCCCGCAAAATAAGCACATTTGCAAAATGCTCTTTGATTAGAGATTATTTTGTTCAATTTTAGGGCTCACATTTTCCAAATGTCCTTGGTTGGAGATGTATAAACAAATTAGGTGTTTGTTTAAGCTTTTACTATTTCATTTTTTCTCAATCAAAGGGAAAATGTGGGCTAGGGGAGACTTTGACAGCCATTCAAGCAGTTCCAAGTGTCCCTTCAACATATGTTATTTACATACATCATCCAGTAAGAACCTCAATAACTAATTAAGTTAAAAAAAAAGAGCTAGAATTGATTATGCCAATATGAGCATGCTGCTACTGCAATGTCATACAAACTTCTTTCGTTTCCTGCACTATTTGAAATTCCACCAAATGTTATGGGTTGAAAATAATGATCAAGAAAGTAATCATTTGGATAGCTTCATGCGTAAACATAGCTCGACTCAACTTACATAGCAAATCAACAGATTAAAAAAGCATATGCATTTTATGCATTTTTGGTGAAAGAAATAAGCATTGAATTTTTGAAAAGATATCTTAACCTTTTTAATTCTCAAGCAATGCTACTACTCCACACATCAAATATCTTTGACCAACTTTTGTTCACACCAATAATGTGTTATGCCTATCATATGTATTTTTAATCTGAAATGCTCTGGACGTCATTCATTTTCAACAAGAGGATAAAATCTGTCGTTTGGTTAATAGACTTGATCAGTTATATAGAGTCCCAACTTGAGTCAGTTATAATTTTTTCAATCCCATTTTAAGAAAATTTGTGTTCACGTAATAATAATTTTCAATAAGTCTTAAAGTATGCAATATTGTATTACAAATAAAGGTTTAAGAAGAACTAAAATATTTTGGGACAATACTAATTATTTAGAGTTGATGTCACATCTTTGAGTTTACAGATATGTAATATCTCGTTTGCATGGACACCTTATTGTCGAAGCCAAAATGTCTCTAGCTCTCAAGTATGTTAACAGCTTATTGGCATGAAACTTTTAATACGCATTTCAAAATTAGGTGTCTCTCTTTAATTTTTCGTTACATCTTAGAAATTGACATGCTTCATTAATTACTAAAGTAGTTTTTCATATCTATTTTTCTTTGATGAAGGGTAACTAATTTTCTAACACCTCTGCTAAGTAATAACGTTCTTATGTAATAGAATTGGTTTGGTCCCCACCTTATGACTACATACTTAGGTTTTAAGTATTGTTTATTCTGTTAAATAATGAACTAAAATATATAAAGTTGAATGTGTATTATACTGGTACAAGGATTTCTAGAATATAGGAAACAATCTAGATCCTATAAGTCAGCATGTATTCCTACAATTATGGAAGCAAACGTATATGCAAATAGTCAGAGGATCAATCATAGAAATCATTCATTTTTTCTCAACACTCGCCCTCAAGTTGGAATGTATGTTGATGTTTCCAACTTGCCAAGTAAGATAGTAAATTTTGAGAGTCCAGGTGGCTTTGTGAACCTGTCTACTGGTTTGGGATGTTGATATGTGAGCTGTTTCACGTATAAGATGACAGAGGGTTTCAATGTGCTTGATCCGTTCATGGAAGACGATGGGATTTGAAGCAATGTGAAATGCGGCCTGGCTATAACAATATAATTTGATAGGGTATAAATGCAGAATGCCCAAGTCATTCAAGATGGATTTCAACCAAATTATTTCACATGTAGATGCCATGAAACGATTTCCGCTTTTGTACTTGAACGTAATATGGTAGCTTGTTTTTTTGGTTTTCCAAGAGACCAATGACTTTCCTAGAAATATCTAGTACCCAGGTAACTAATGTCGAGTGTCACAGCATCGAGCCCAATCTGCATAACATAAGGTGATATGTCTTTTTTGTGGTTTTTTCTTGTTTTTGTTTTTCTCTGCCCTCAATCTCGATCTATCAATTCCCTTCTTCCTCCACCTCGTTCTCTTAGAGCAACTCCAATGTGGGAGCCCTCCTCCCAGGTTATTCACTATTCAATCTACGTGGTGAATAGTAACTGCCCTTAATGAATAGTAATCGCCTTTTGCATCTCCACTGTAACACTTCAATAGCCCTGACAATAGGCAATAAAATATTGGTATTTTTTTATTTATAAAATAATACAAAATAATTTTAATTGTAATTTCGGATAAGATTTTTAATTGTTCTCGTTGCGCTACTTGTCATAAAATCCGAAAAGACAATTATTGGGGATAGATTTCCGATAAGATTTTTAAAACTATTTTTTCTTTTATTTTTTTATTTATAAAACAGATTAATATCAACCGTTGATCTCAAATCGAATGGTTGATATTAAATATATTTTTTTTATTTTTTTTACTGTTGAGATTGAACGGTCCAAATTAAAGAGCCGTTGAGATTGAATGGACCGTAGGAAGACACAGTGGCTTCCAATGGTAACATTTCAGTTCTGAAAAGTGGGTTGACTTTTCTGAAATTATGTTGGGCAACGCGCCCCCACGTGCGAGTGGGGTGCACGCGCCTGACGGAAAAAAAATAAAAAAAGGGCCTGACACCAGGTTGACGTTAGTGCTGGCGTCACATCAACTTGGGCTCTCGGACTGGCAATTCTTCACAGGCCCTGAGCTCAGACCTCCACCTCCACTCGGACTTCTTCACGCTGGAGCGAATCCACAGGGCCTTAGGCCCTTTTCTCTGGCCTTGTCCCTCGAGCAATCCACCACGGTGGAGTTGCTCTTATCATTCCTATAGGGTTAGGTGTTGATACATTTAAGCGATACAAATTAAAATAAAATAAAAAAACAAAAA